ACGGGTCTCGATATGTTTGCTCCTCCCATGTGAGGCTGAATGTTTTGATACGTTTATGGCAGATTTATTATCAATGAGTAGCTTCACTTTCTCTGTCAAATCAACTTTCAATTCCTGGAGAATATTCCTTAGCCAAACAGCCTGGCATGAGGTTTCTGAAGCAACAATATATTCTGCTTCACACGAGGATAAAGCCACCATAGGCTCCTTAGTTGAGTTCCATGAGATTAAAGCTCCTCCAAGGAAGAAAATGTAGTCAGCGATGCTTTTTCTATCTCCCTTATCACCACACCAGTCTGAATCAGTGTACCCCAACCAATTCTACAGTTTTAGTTTTGGATTTAGGAAATAGAATCCCGTAACTCATTGTTCTTTTCAGATATCTCAAGATTCTTTTAACTGCATACATATGGGATTCTCTTGGATTTTGCATGTATCTACTAATTAAGCCCACATTATAGCTTAAATCAGTCTGAATTGCAGAGATACCTCAAATTGCCAACAATTTTACTGATCTGGGTTGCATCAACTAATTCTTCATCTCGTTTCATAGCTTCGTCCCGCTCTGTAACATCCAAGTATTTCCCAAAAATATTTTATTAATATAATAAAATATTTTGTTATTAACTTTAATAAAATGGTATTATGAGTTATTTTAAGACTTGATAATTTTTAAAGATATTAATAAATAATATATATATATATATATATATATATTATGAAATTTTTAATAGAGTGAAATAGATAAATTTAGAATTGAGTTTAAAATGAAGTAATAATAATAATAATAAGAGTAATATCATTAAGCAAAATTAGTAATCTAATTTTCCATTGATGAAAGGATTTAATTGGTAAGTGAAAAAGTAAGTGAGGGTAATTTTGGAAAGGAGGTTAAATTTAAAGAAGAGAAAGACCAATTTTATTTCTCACTTACCGAAGCCATTTTGGGAGCACGGGAGGAAGAAGAGAAGCTTGATTTTGCTTGCCCACACCATCTTGGTTCATCCTTTTTGCAATTAAGAGTAAGATCCATGAAATTAAAGCATTGGATTTCAATATTATCTCCTAAAATCTTCTTAATCTCAAATATATGGTCATTTTGATGCTTATAGGAGACAAACTTTTCTTGAACTAAGGATCTCTATTTTCTTGTTTGAAAGCTTCATTTGAGGTAGGGAGAGTCTTTTTGTCATCAACCTTAGGCTAAACCATCATTTATCTCACTTCTACATTAATTGGAACCAAATTAAAATATTTTATAAAAATTTCGTATGGCTATTCTAGTATATTTAGATACTCTACAATGCTCCTTTCATATTTTAGAGTTTAGAAATGGATTCCTTGGATGTTAAAACCTAGAGTTAGTCATAAAAATCACTTAAATTGGATTTTTCTAGAGGAAGATGATGAAATATGTGTTGAGAGATGTTATTCAACAAAAATCTGCATGTGAATAGAATCTTTGGGAAATTATGTAAAAATATTTACTTGGTATTTAATTCTGAAATTTTGATTACATGTTCCTTTATATGTCTAGTTAGTGTGTGATTTATTTCAAAATTTTCTGACCAGTTAATTTTCGATGAAAAATCTTGGAAGTAAATAGGTTTTGAGTTGGGTGAAACAGAATTGTTATGTCCGCTCAGCAACTTTGAAAAATCATATAAAATTGAAATTAAAGTTTTTTGAGATGAAATATTTGTCATAGTTGTTATTGTAGATATATGTTAAGCATATTTATTTTCATAATTTTATAACCATTAATTTATTTTATAAAAATATATCTTTGAGTAATGCCCTGATAGTGGAATCTTCAAAACGTATGAAAAGGGAGGAAAGTTTTGAATGACTTAGAAATCTTTAACTTTTGAGTTATAATTTTTATTATAATCCTAGAATATATTTATTTTAGACTGGAAATTTTCATAGAATTTGGAGTTAGTTTAGATAGCAAAGAATTTTTCCAAAGTTACATTTTTCTAATGCTTATGATAAACTTTTCTTCCTAGAGAAGTATAAACAAAACTTTAGTTCTGTACCTATTATTTATTTTATGAGTATGTATGATGTGAGAATGATAGTGTAATGAGATATTTTGGGACACAAGATTAGAATAACAAGAGTTTAGAAAATTTGATGGATCGCAATGTGTGCTGAGTCCGAGAGTGTCCGACTCTCGGCAAATTTTTATTGTTCTTGTTTGATGCAGGAAAATGTGTTTATAAATTTGATTTGAATATATTTGTAAATTGGGAAACGTCCAAATTACAAAGGAGACTCTGTCAAAATTTTGAAATTGATGAAAAATCAATAAAGCTTAATAAGAATGGTATAAAGAAACGTTATGAATAGATAATGCATTCATAATCATGGTAGTTAGTGGAAATCATGTCTATAAGATGTTTATGCAATGTGCTGAGTCTAAGTCAGAGATGTTGGTCATCTAAAATTAGGGTATTATGTCTATAGTGATATGGTATGTATGATGTAGAGTTTGTTCCTACCAAATATATTGTTGTTAAAGAGTTGGTGGTGTCACTCAGTGACGAGATATGTGTGTGGATGGTACGGAGATACACCGGGGGCTTAGGAGATAAGAGAAGATCAGATTGATCTTGGAGAAATATAGAGTGCATTGTTTGGCCACGCTCTATACTCCCGACTTGACTCTTTGACTTTGCCTTTTTGCCAAGGGATCGTTATGCGTAAACATTGTATCTGTGATGCGCAGATCAACCGGTAACTATCTATACTTCTGTGAGCCATTTATGTTCGTGTGTAATTTTGTTATGTTTGTGAGAGTTGTTTGTACTTATGTGTGATCCTTTCATAGATTGAAAGATGGGATTGATAGTGTATCCTAGGTGCATGAGCATTTCAAATGTGGCAAAAATGAACGAATGAAACACAAACATGTATTGTGTATTTTTAGTTTGAGTAATGTGATTTGTGGAAATTGTTTGAAATTTCTATGTGGGATACTTTATTGAAAAAAATGAAATGTTTGACTATAAATGTTACATATGGTTTTAGATTGTAGAGGTTGGAAAAATTTTCGGTTTAGTGTTCTGGAGTGATGAGAAAAGGAAACTCATCCTTACTGTTATATTTCAGGTAATGATGAAACAATTGTGGTGGAGGAACCACAGTTTGATTGAGTATCATATACATATGTATGGAAGAATGTTGCCCTCAGGAGGGGTATGACCTTGTATAAGAAAGTTAGAAATTTTGGGTACTGCTCTCGATTAGGATTTGCTTTATTTTGAGATGTATAAATTTAAAATTAAGTTCTAATCGTTTAAGGGTACAAACTTTATGTAATTATAGTATGATCCTTGTTGGATTAGTTATTTTGAAAAACAATGTATTATGATTATGGATGTATATGTATGAATATGTTTGACACATCTATATATATTCATTAACGCATGATCAGTTTTAAAGTTCATTGTCATAAAGAACTAATATTGTAAAAAAAAAATTTATTCCCATTTTTGAGAAATTAAATAAATTAGAAGAAAAAAAATGACGTTACAATTAGGTGGTATCGGAGCAGTTTAGTCCATATCGGATCTGGGGTATGGGATTAGTATGCTTTTGCTGTGTGACTTAGTATTTTTGTTAAATCAATAGTATAAATAATTGATTGGTGTGATGACATATTTAATAATTTAAATAGGGATTTGTTTGAATCAATTAAGTTTGATAGTATAAATATGTGTGATCAGTAGGAAAGATAACTGAAAATGATAATAAATATAATAGTGATGATAATGTAATTTCTTGTAGAACTAAATATTTTGGTTTTCGGGAATCATGACTAGTAGATCTACTGGAACGACAAAGGAACTTCTTGCTCGTATGACTCAAGTATTAGAGGCATTAGTACATGACCATGGGGAAGAACTATCTGCATTCACCAAGCATAATCCACCAGGGTTTGAGGGAAGGTTTAATCCAGAAGGAGCGTAAAGATGGATAGCTGACATTGAGAAAATTTTTACTGCAATGGGTTGTCAAGAGGAACATAGGGTGTTCTATGCTACTTACATGTTGTCTGGAGAAGCCGAAGATTGGTGGAGATTTGCTAGTCAAACCTTGCCCAGGAATGGTGAATATGTGGAATGGGAAGTATTCAAAGCAAGTTTCTTAGGAAATTATTTCCCTAGAGACCTAAAGAAGCAGAAGCCTCGAGAATTCTTAGAATTAAAGCAAGGAAGTATGACAGTGGGAGAGTATGCTGCTAGATTTCATGACCTAATGAAGTACTGGCCACATTATCAACATGAAGGTGGAGGTGAAGATCTCTGTGCACAATTTGAGAATGGTCTTCGATCTGACATTCGCACTGCAGTAAGCGTATTCCAACTTACTAATTTATCAACCTTGATCAGCAAGTGTAGAATTTATGAAGCAAGTGTTAAGGGGAAGACTATAGATATTAGGATGGGAGGACCTATTCGACACGACAAGAGGCCACCATAGTTTCAGAAAGGACCGTACCAAAGACCTGTTCATACACTGTCTAGTGGGGTTTCTATTCGTAGTACCACTAATAGCAACAAAAGTTATCGTGGTTCACTAAAATGCTTCAGATGTGAAGGTCCTCATATGGTGAAAGATTGCCCGAAACTGTCTTCGGTCTGCAGTTATTGTGGAAAGAAGGGACATTCTGTTAACAATTGCTGGTCTGCACCGCAGAAAAATGGAAACACTAGTGTGGGAAATCAATCGGTGAACAAAAGTAATCAGACATTGACAAAACCCAAGGTGCACGGCAAAGTGTTTGCCATGAGTGGATCATAAGCAATAGAATCTGATGAGCTTATTCGAGGTAAATGTATTATTAAAGGCAAACTAGTTGATGTTTTATATGACTCAGGTGCAACATATTCATTCATTTCCATTGATTGTGCTGAGAACCTTGATTTGCCTATGACTTGTTTATCCTATAGTATGATGGTGTCTACTCCTACTGATGGTTCAGTCATCACTCGTCATGCATGTGTTGGTTGTTCTTTGTTGACACATGGGAGAATATTTTTGGTTGACTTGATTTGTTTACCGTTTTCCCATCTTGATGTTGTGTTGGGTATGGATTGGTTGTCGTCCAACCATGTACTCCTTGATTGTAAAGAAAAGTCTTTAATCTTTGGAATGGATTCACCAAAGATTTCTAGTTTGTCAAGTGAAAATGGTTCGAAGAACATGATCACCGCTAAGGCTTTCATGATACTATTCTCAGTAAAAGTCAAAGAAGTAATTCGAGTAGAAGATATTCCGGTTGTGAGTGAATTTCCTGAAGTATTCCCTGAAGACATTACTTGAATTACCACCGAAAGAGAGATGGAATTTGCTATTGACTTGGTCCCTGGAGCGAGTCCTGTCTCCATTGCACCGTATCGAATGGCACTGGTGGAACTTGCTGAAGTGAAGAAGCAAGTGGAAGAATTGTTGCAAAAACAATTTGTACGACCTAATGTTTCACCTTGGGGAGCACCAGTATTACTGGTAAAGAAAAAGGACGGGACCATGCGCATGTGTGTTGACTATCGTCAATTGAATAAGGTGACTATAAAGAATAAATATCCTCTTCCTAGGATCGATGACTTAATGGATCAGCTGCGAGGGGCATCAGTGTTTTCTAAGATCGATTTACGATCTGGCTACCACCAAATTCGAGTGAAAACTGATGATATACCTAAGACAACTTTTCGAACTCGATATGGTCATTTTGAGTATTTGGTTATGCCATTTGGTGTAACCAACGCTCCTGCTATATTCATGGACTACATGAATAGAATATTCCACAAATACTTGGACCAGTTTGTAGTAGTATTCATTGACGACATCTTGGTTTATTCAAAGAGTCTTGAGGAGCATGCTCGACATTTAGGAATTATTTTACAGATTCTCCAAGACAGAAAACTTTATGCAAAACTATCAAAATGTGAGTTTTGGTTATCTCAAGTACAATTTCTGGGACATGTGATTTCAAAGCAAGGAATTATGGTAGACCCAGCAAAAGTTGAAGCAGTGTCCCAATGGGTAAGACCTACAACACCTACTGAGATTCGAAGTTTCTTAGGGTTAGCTGGTTATTATAGAAAATTCATTGAAAGATTTTCTAAATTAGCTTTACCCCTAACAAAACTCACTCGTAAGGATCAGGAGTTTAGGTGGAATGATGAGTGTGAAGTCAATTTTCAGAAGCTAAAAGAAAGGTTAACTTCAACACCTGTTTTAGTTTTACCCAATCTAGAAAGGAAATTTGACGTATATTGTGATGCTTCACAACAAGGACTAGGATGTGTGCTTATGCAAGATAAGAAGGTTGTAGCTTATGCTTCTGGACAACTCCGACCTCATGAGGTGAATTATCCAACGTATGATTTAGAGCTTGCAGCTGTGGTATTTGCATTAAAGATTTGGAGGCATTATCTCTATGGAACTAGATTTGAGGTTTTCAGTGATCATAAAAGTTTAAAGTATTTATTTGATCAAAAAGAGTTGAACATGAGTCAGAGAAGATGGATGGAGTTTCTAAAAGATTATGACTTTGAGTTGTCATATCACCCTGGTAAAGCAAATATAGTGGCTGATGCGTTGAGTCGGAAATCCCTTCATATTTATGCGATGATGGTGAAAGAGTTGCAATTAATAGAAGAATTTCGAGATTTGAGTTTGGCAGTAGAAGTGCGCCCTAAAAGTCTATACCTTGGTGCTTTGCATATCCATAATGATTTTCTCATGCAAATTAGAAATGCCCAAACAGAAGATAATTATCTGCAAGAGTGGATGGATAAGAGGGAAGAGAGGAAAGATAAATTTTTTTATCGTGATGCTACTGGGCTAATAAGGTTTAGAAAACGAGTTTGTGTTCCTCAAGTATATGAAATAAAGAAGATGATTTTAGAAGAAGCACATCGGAGTAAATTAAGTTTTCATCCAGGTATTACTAAGATGTACCATGACTTAAAAGAAAATTTTTGGTGGCATGGCATGTAAAAGGACGTTGCAAACTTTGTATCAAAATGTTTGATTTGTAGGAAGTCAAAGACAGAACACCAAAGATCTCTTGGAGAGCTGCAACCATTGGATATTCCTGAGTGGAAGTGAGATAGCATTTCCATGGACTTTGTGTCCGGATTGCCGAAGACCAAACATAATCGTGATGCAGTATGGGTGATTGTAGATATATTAACTAAAACTGCCCATTTCCTTCCCATGAACATGAAGTATAAGCTAGAGAAGCTTGCAGGATTGTATGTTAAAGAAATTGTGAGATTACACGGAGTTCCTGCCAGTATTATATCTGATAGAGATCCACGATTTACTTCAAAATTCTGGGAGAGCCTACAAAGGGCATTAGGAACAAAATTGAAAATGAGTTCAGCTTATCATCCACAGACAGATGGACAGACGGAACGTACTATTCAAACTCTAGAAGACTTGTTACGAGCTTATGTGATGGAACAACAGGGAGCATGGGATGAAAGCTTACCATTAGTAGAGTTTACTTACAATAATAGCTTCCACTCTAGTATTGAAATGACACCATATGAAGCTTTGTATGGTAAAAAATGTAGGACACCATTGTGCTGGTATGAGATGGGAGAAAGTTTGTTGTTGGCGCCTGATTTATTGCAGAAACAAATGGACCAAATTAAGATGATTAAGGAGAAGATTAAAGTTGTTCAAGATCGACAAAAAAAGTTACTATGATAAGAGAAGGAAACCTTTGGAATTCCAAGTGGGTGAACATGTGTTTTTAAAGGTTTCTCCTACTACTGGGGTTGGTCGAGCCTTAAAGACTAGAAAACTATCCCCAAAATTCATTGGACCTTTTGAGATCTTGAAGAAGATTGGTTTAGTGGCTTATCAGTTGGCCTTACCACCTAAACTCTCAAACCTACATTCAGTGTTTCATATATCTCAATTGCGTAAGTATATTGATGATCCTTCTCATGTGATTGAACTTGATCCTATCCAAGTTCGAGAGAACTTATCCTATGAGGTATCACCCATAAGAATTGTCGATCACCGATTTAAACAACTGCGAGGAAAGACTATTGCATTGGTTAAAGTGATATGGGATCTAAATCATGAAGAGAATGCCACTTGGGAGCTTGAAGACAAGATGAAAGAGTCTTATCCTTATCTTTTTGATACTTAGTGAATTTCGAGGGCGAAATTCCTAAAAGGGTGGGTGAATTGTAACATCCAAGTATTTTCCAAAAATATTTCATTAATATAATAAAATATTTTGTCATTAACTTTAATAAAATGATATTATGAGTTATTTTAAGACTTGATAATTTTTAAAGATATTAATAAATAATATATATATATATATATATATATGAAATTTTTAATAGAGTGAAATAGATAAATTTAGAATTGAGTTTAAAATGAAGTAATAATAATAATAAGAGTAATATCATTAAGCAAAATTAGTAATATAATTTTCCATTGATGAAATGATTTAATTGGTAAGTGAGGGTAATTTTGGAAAGGATGTTAAATTTAAAGAAGAGAAATACCAATTTTCTTTCTCACTTACCGAAGTCATTTTGGGAGCACGGGAGGAAGAAGAGAAACTTGATTTTGCTTGCCCACACCATCTTGGTTCATCCTTTTTGCAATTAAGAGTAAGATCCATGAAATTAAAGCATTGGATTTCAATATTATCTCCTAAAATCTTCTTAATCTCAAATATATGATCATTTTGATGCTTATAGGAGACAAACTTTTCTTGAACTAAGGATCTCTATTTTCTTGTTTGAAAGCTTCATTTGAGGTAAGGAGAGTCTTCTTGTCATCAACCCTAGGCAAACCATTATTTATCTCACTTCTACATTAATTGGAACCAAATTAAAATATTTTATAAAAATTTCGTATGGTTATTCTAGTATATTTAGATACTCTACAATGCTCTTTCATATTTTAGAGTTTATAAATGGATTCCTTGGATGTTAAAACCTAGAGTTAGCCATAAAAATCACTTAAATTGGATTTTTCTAGAGGAAGATGATGAAATATGTGTTGAGAGATGTTATTCAACAAAAATCTGCATGTGAATAGAATCTTTGGGAAATTATGTAAACATATTTACTTGGTATTTAATTCTGAAATTTTTATTACATGTTCCTTTATATGTCTAGTTCGTGTGTGATTTATTTCAAAATTTTCTGAACAGATAATTTTCGATGAAATATCTTGGAAGTAAATAGGTTTTGAGTTGGGTGAAACAGAATTGTTATGTCCGATCAACAACTTTGAAAAATCATATAAAATTGAAATTAAAGTTTTTTTATATGAAATTTTTATCATAGTTGTGATTGTAGGTATATGTTAAGCATATTTATTTTCATAATTTTATAACCATTAATTTATTTTATAAAAATATATCTTTGAGTAATGCCCTGATAGTGGAATCTTCAAAACGTATGAAAAGGGAGAAAAATTTTGAATGACTTAGAAATCTTTAAATTTTGAGTTATAATTTTTATTATAATCCTAGAATATATGTATTTTGGACTGGAAAATTTCATAGAATTTGGAGTTAGTTTAGATAGCAAAGAATTTTTCCAAAGTTACACTTTTCTAATGCTTATGATAAACTTTTCTTCCTAGAGAAGTATAAACAAAACTTTAGTTCTGTACCTATTATTTATTTTATGAGTATGTATGATGTGAGAATGATAGTGTAATAAGATATTTTGGGACACAAGATTAGAATAACAAGAGTTTAGAAAATTTGATGGATTGCAATGTGCGCTGAGTCCGAGAGTGTTCGACTCTCGACAAATTTTTATTGTTCTTGTTTGATGCAAGAAAATGTGTTTATAAATTTGATTTGAATGTATTTGTAAATTGGGAAACGTCCAAATTACAAAGGAGACTCTGTCAAATTTTTGAAATTGATGAAAAATCAATAAAGCTTAATAAGAATGGTATAAAGAAACGTTATGAATAGGTAATGCATTCATAATCATGGTAGTTAGTGAAAATCATGTCCATAAGATGTTTGTGCTATGTGCTGAGTCTAATTCAGAGATGTTGGTAATCTAAAAATATGGTATTATGTCTATAGTGATATGGTATGTATGATGTAGAGTTTGTTCCTACCAAATATATTGTTGTTAAAGAGTTGGTTGTGTCACTCAGTGACGAGATATGTATGTGGATGGTACGGAGATACATCGGGGGCTTAGGAGATAAGAGAAGATCAGATTGATCTTAGGGAAATATAGAGTGCATTGTTTGGCCACACTCTATACTCCCGACTTAACTCTTTGACTTTGCCTTTTTTCCAAGGGATCGTTATGCGTAAGCATTGTATCTGTGATGCGCAGATCAACCGACAACTATCTATACTTCTGTGAGTCAT